GAGGCAGGGTGCGGTGCTGCAGCACCCAGGGGGCTCCCGGGGCACCCGGCTCCGGCTGGGATCCTTTCGCGGCACTGCTGACCCCGGGAAGGCCCCCGCCAGCCCTCGGCCTGCCCGCCGCTGCTTGGGCCCTCGGTACGTACTGTGAGGGAGCAGAAGTGATTATGCTTGGACGGGAACTGAAATGGTTTCTCAGCACCAACTGCGTAGTGAGACTCGAGTGAAGGTCCTGCGGACACTGTGAATACCGTCTGTGAGATGTCTGACGAGATGGGCCCTCACCAGCCTGCCTACGGCAGTACGAGAAGCAGTTCCTGGGTCCTGAGGAATCCTTCTGTGTTACATAAAGCTGGTCTTTTGAGTCATTTTCCTGCTTGCTTTTTAGCAAGTTTAAGTTCCTGAAAATCCTTGCTCACACTTCAAATGTTTACGCGTCAAACATAATTCCTCCCTTTTTTCAATAATATATCACAAACTATATAATATCCAGTTGGAAGTTGGCTAAAAATTCATGCCTGTCTTTTTTAATAGCTTGGAAAAATCTCAAAAGCCGGGACTTGGTTTGGTAGTGCCCCAGGAAAAGCAGTTGGCTCAAGTCTGGTGGCCCTTTGGCTTCTTCCTTCGGTCCCTTTCCCATCTCCCTTGCCCTGTGCCCGGCCACGTTATTTTGATTCGGCCATAAAGCACGAACAGCTTGGCGGAAGGGAAGGAGTTGGGTAAGGTCGGGTGAGCTGTCAGGTGTGTGACATGGCCAGAGCTCTTCTCCGCAAGTTCCTTCGGAGCAGCGACCCGACACAAACCCGCGCTCGGCTCTGGCTCGCCCTCCCCGGCGGGTGAGCGGGGGATCCCGAGGGGAGGGAGGGGAAGGAGGGGAGGCAGGAGGGGAGGGAGGGGAGGCAGGAGGGGAGGCAGGAGGGGAGGGAGAGGAGGGAGGGAAGGAGGAAAGGAGAGGAAGGGAGGCCGAGGGGAGGCCGGGCCGGGCCGGGCCGGTCGGTGGTGCTCCAGCGCCCCCTGGTGCCCGCCGCGGGGCTCGGCGGGGCCCGGGCTGTCGCGACGCGGCTCCGGTCGCGGCTCCGGTCGCGGCTCCGGTCGCGGCTCCGGTCGCGGCGCGGCGGGCCCCGGGTTCAACCCCTCGGGCCGATCTGGCCGCTGCCGCCGCCGCCGGTTCGGTGCGCGCAGCCCCGTGCCCGCCGGCGGGGCGCCGGGGTGCCGGTGAAGCAGGGCAGCCCCTGCCTCCCAAGCAGGTACCGCCACGCCGCGGGCGCTCTCGGAAGGAAGAGCCCTGTAAGGCCACCTGATCCCCAGTAAGAATTCAATTAAGGTTTTAATAAAACGCTTGCAGAGAGCTGGGTCGGGAAGAGGCCCCTCGGAGAAAAGCCGAGCACAGCAAGTCTGAGCTGCGAGCTGCGCTGTGATGCGCTGTTCAGCGTCTGTGGGTTTCCTCCCTTCATCTCCAGCCAAGCCACTGTCTCCAACTGTCTCAGACAATTGCTGAGTCTCCTAAAGGCCCAGCTACATAAGAGGCTCTGAGAAGAGTTCATGTAGCATTTCTCTCACCACTGGTTTCTCCCCCAATGTTGTCTTCATCTCTTTCAAAATCCAAAGGCATCTTAACGTCTTTCTGTCAGCAACAGCAGTAAGTGCTTTAACACAAGTATCTCCTGGCTGGGGATTTTCTGCCATCCTGCTTGTCCACATTCAGCTTTTCTATCATATGTGTGCGTCTTCTCAAAAAGCAAATGAGTGCTTTGCCCGTTTTGACTTTATCTGCTTTACCAAGCTGCAGTGTTGGGTGATGGCTGCAAATTACTTTGTTTCTCAAAGTCCAGGCACAGGTTATTTTAATTCGGAGTTAAAAAGCAAAAGCGTCAGGACTGAGTAACGCTCACCCACATGTACCTACTGACAGGGACCTCTCACTCCCCTTGCAGCAAAAATGCCAGCGCTGGGTATGCTGAAAGGTGTGAGCACCACGTGGGGCGGCCGCTTCCATCGCCAGGACACACAGACTTTTGTTTGCCTGTTAGTCAAGGCTTAATCTGGAAAAAGCACACACTGCGGAGGAGGAGGTGATTAATGCCTGTGAAATCCTGGCCCAGGGAAGGGCCAGCCCTGCCAGACGTGATAATGTTGTCCTCTGACAAATGGTCATAGCGTGGCCTTCTTCAGATAACGATGTAGTTTTGTGCGTTCGCTTCAGATACTGATCCCACCAGGGGAGGGTTCCCTGTCATACAGCCATCCATCCCACCTCCTCGGTGCTCAGCTCTCAGAGCCGATGGGTTTTGGCTATTCTTCTTCCTTTCACTGGCACTTCTGCATAGACTAGCAATTACAAATATGCATTCCCATTTATCTCGCACCTTTCAGCTGGAAGTCCAAGTACTTTACCCATATGAATTAAGTGTTGCAACACAACAGTTAGATATGCAGGGAGTACACAGGGCTCACCCCGGTCGGTCGGCACATTGCTGTAACACAGCTGTTTCTTGTACTGTGGCAGATACTTAGCGGAATTCAAGAATATCTAAACAGAAAGTTTGGACCAGCTGTTTTCAAACTTACTTGAGTTGTCAATCCATAAAGTAGTCTGCTAGAGGTGTGGGCCCTGATACAGCGGGCTCGAGTACAGCGATGACAGGCTTGCTTCTCTGAGGTGCACGCACTACATCACCGGGGGCAATGAGGCTAGTGTAAGTCCTCGGCCTCTTGCCCCGGCCCACGCAACTCACTGCCCTTGCAGTGGCCCTGATACAACTGTGTTTTGAGCCAGACTGTCTGCTGGATCCACTGGGTCTGGATTTTTGTACAATGTCAAGCCTTATTTTTTTTCTCTCGGAACCATTTCAAACCGTACCATGAGCTCCAGGTTCTTGAGACCTGGCTCCCCGGGGCACTCTCACCATCCGGAGGGTGGGCAGCAACCGCAGCCCAGCCGCTCTCCTGCAGGTCAAGAACGAGCAGTTCGGCCAGCAGAGCCTCCCCAGGAGATGTTCCACGGCAGAACTAACTTACAGTGTGTTTATGTAAAGCCGCACAGTAAAGGTGCTCATATACTGCTCTCACTTTACAACCTGTGCAATCTTATATAAACTTTTAAAGGCGTATGTGTTTGTGATTCATCCCCAAATCCTGTGAGGACAGCAGCACTGCAGAGGCACATTAGCTCAGTTCTGAAGCAGCAGTACGCTCTTCTTAAACCAGCTCATCCTCAGAAATGTCTGCAGTGCTGACTTTCTGCCTGATGTTGCTTGGTTTTAGTTGGTTATGTCAGGCCTACTGTAAAACACTATAAAAGTGAAACTTCTTCCAGGAACAACTGAATTCTGGCAATTTCCAAGTCATGTAATTTGTTTCTGAAGTCGAGGTCCTATTTCTGTGCTACAACAGGCACACACATCAGTTATGCAGGACTGGGTGCTAAAGATGGGCAGCATGTCATCTAGGTTGAGGTGGGCACATCTAAAAAAGGTGATTCATCCTTAGAGATGAGTCACTTCTTAAGCGCGCCTCTTCCTCTCCACTGGTTGTAAAGAAAATGTGGGTAATCCCAAATCCAGGTTGTTGGCTGAGCAGTGCCTCAGGATGCCTAAATCCCACAGTTGGTGTTTTCTGTCTGTCTGTATGTAACAGAACCACCACCCAGCTACGAGCCTGCTGGGAGGAATGTGGAAAAGGGCGCTCGCAGGCCAGACTTAAGATGTGTTGGCAGCACCATGCATGTGGGCAGTTTACATAGCCCACAGTCCAATTTCAGCTGTAACCGCCACTGCTATTAGATTCTCATTATGCGCTGGTGTTTGCATGCATATGGAACAGAGGCTGTGCCATTTAATTACATCCACGGCAGTGGGAGAGTCCCATCACATCTCTAACTACCAGCCCTCTTTGCTCAGGAGCAGGTAATCCCACCCTTGCCCCTCCCTGCTTTTCTGAGTGTGTGAAGCTATCGGGTTGTTTTAGGGAATTTCAACATGCAGCAGAAAGGCTTGAGGGCTGAGGCTGTTATGAAAATAAAATATGATAGTGTGATGCAGATTGAATTATATCACTGCACCTTTTAATTTCTGGGAGACTGATACTGAAGATAAAGGTGAAGATTGTATGTGGTACAGACTAGCCAAGAGCTGTTGAGTTATCTCACTCACTGCAGGGTTCATGCATTTTAAAAATCAGTGTTAAAAAGACCTGAGCAATAAATACATGGTGCCTTTAAAATCTTGTCTGCTCAGACAGCTATCTGCTCCCTGTTCCTCCCCAGAATTCCTGCTGTCTTATTCTCAAGCCTCAGTCTACACCTAAATGTTTCTCCAAGAGGAGTAGCAATTCGTCAGTTTTCCTTGCATTCAGGTGGCCCTGTATTGTATTGAAAAAAGTACCCCAGTCATCTATAAGCCAAAACCTCCTGAATGCCTTCTCTGGCTTTGGGAAACTCAGCCTGTCCTTATGCCTCAGTGTGGAGTTACAAGATATTGCTGCTGTGAGGAAATGCTGGTTTCAGAGGCCCCTGCTGTTTCTTGCCCCAAACTGCAGTCCCTCCCTGCCCCTGTGAAATAATTTGAGTTTATACTAACCAAACCAGAAGAAATAATTGCAGTGATTCAGCTTGCAGCATGGGCACCAAGCAGTGTGACAGAGGGGCAGCAGGCTGTGGCTGAGAGCACAGAACAAGGGGCTTTAAGGGATTTTGTCACCGAAGCCAATATACCATGTAGCTACACCCTTGTGTTTCTGCCCGGGGAAAAACATCTACAGTAGCTACTATCCTGATTAGCTGTCTTCTCAAGTGCTATATATGTATGGGTACTGCCCACACAGGCATCAACAATGTTTAAATTTGTACCTTGGAGGCTCACGCTCAAGGAAATGTTGAGAACACAGAGACCGTAAAGGAGCATGGAATGGGAGCTGTGCCTTCCAAGGTGTAATACCGGGACGTGGGATGTCACAGAAGCAGAGGCTGCTCATTGTTAATGGCATCTTCTCTCTTATTCTTTTAGTGTGGAAACAGTAAATGATGGGCAGTTTCATAGTGTGGAACTCGTGATGCTGAATCAAACTCTGAACCTGGTGGTGGACAAGGGGACTCCCAAGAGTCTAGGAAAACTCCAGAAACAGTCTTCTGTCAGCCTCAACACACCCCTCTACATTGGAGGTACAGTGAGTTGCTCTGGACTTTGAGATTTTAGCAAGTCTTCTCAGAAGCAAACCACGTTCCATCCTATGGAGAGGACTCTCTGGCGGGGTTGGAACTAGGAGTTTGCCTTTCCCCTCTGCCAGAGGTTGCTTCCCTGAACAGAGAGCTTGGAAACCACAGCTCTGCTGCTCTGCTTCCGCAGTCCGCGAGCACCGCAGCGCACGGCCACACGAGCTCGCACGCCGGGCCGGGGAAGTTAACCTCAGCACAGGCAGCTTCTGTGTTACACAGCCACGGCGAGGGTGATCAGTTTGTCATTTCTCAAGCTTTCAGAACTGCCTGGCACCAAGATGTTGAAGAATACAATGGAAGTATCGCGCACAGCCACAGCAAAAAAACCAAGCCAATAGTCAGTAGGTTTAAATACACCATAAACGAGTGGTATTTTTGCTGGAAATTTTATAGAGGTCTAAATATTTGGAGGGAATAAGAAAAAATTAAGGCCTCCAAACCATATTAACACATAAGCTGACTAATAACTTCTTGGCTAATAGTTTTCACATTGGAAACTGAAGCCAGAGCTTCAATATTAGAAAGATATTTGGATTACCCAAACTTTAGTTAATAAGTTTTTTCACATTCAATACTGAATTTTGGGGGACGGAGGGGCCACATGGGGTGGGGAACAGGTGCCCAGAATAATGAGTATCCCACTGATTAGGTGTCTGGATGTGAGAGACAGAATGAAGGCTGTGCTGTGCCCAATTGATTTGGTTTTGACAGAACTCCCCCAACTCTATTCCTGACTGAATGTTGAAATCTCTCCCTTCTCTCAACACAGAGTTCTTGAATTTTTAGTCAGCCTTTTCTAAATACAAAAGTCAGCAGAACAATAATAGACTCAGAAAGTATTTGGGCTTTTTCTAACAAGATCACTGAAGTCAATAGTAGGAACTTACCAACTTCACTTGGTGCTGGTCAAGCCTTTTGTAAATAATTCCCTTTAATAACACTTTTCTAAAACAACCCTGAATATTGCCCTTGTAAATCAGAAAACTGGCTAAGCTTGCTTTGTACAGAGCTGAACTTTTATAATTGGTTCCTATTAAGAATGTCACAGGCTATTAAAGAGCATTATGCATCAGAGATAATCTGTTGGTGAGGCCATAACAATTTCACCCCCTAGCACAGCATAAAAGATAGCAACCCCACAGCAATTTATACACAGGGAACTTGAGAAGTAACCAAGTGGAAAAGTTTTATTAATGGATGAGCACTGTGGATCAATACTAACTCTCAAACGGTACCTACAGAAATGCATTCACAGGACAAACCTGAGACCTGAAATGAAGGACTGGTGGATACCAGGAGCCATGGGCTCAGTGGAGATTTTTTTTAATGCCCACTGAAATTCTTCAGGCTTCTTTCTAAACCCTGACTGTTCTCCATGTGCCACCTCTGCGTGTAGCATTCCCATGGATGCCACTGCAGACTGTTTAGTTAAAGTAATTGATTAAAATACCCCAGAGCAATTGTTCCTAACCTACACTAAGCTTTAAGAGCGACCTGAGCCTTCACGTGCCCGCAATTTTGTCCATCTCTCCATCACCTAGTCTAGCAACTTTCTTCATAATGCACAGTTAAATAAAGATGCTGGTTTTGTTTTAAGACCATCTTTAACAGTGGACTTACAGATACCAAACTCAGAGGCCTGGCGCGGTTGAAGACGGAAGCCCTTGCCTCTGCTAATGCGCTGGCACAGCCCAAGCAGATGCGGGTGGGGAGGGTGTGACACAACTTCCAAAAGAACCTGCCGGCCATCTGAGCGTGTGAACTCTTCCAAGGGCTTGAACGAGATGGCGGGTACTTGCCACAGAGCCTTGGCCCGGCCTCCCCACTGCCGTGCCCTGTCGCTAGAGTTCTCCTGCGTTGGTTTAGACGGGGTGCACTCTTACCACTCCCTGTCTTAACGCTGTGATCTAGTCATGCCTAACTAGCTTGCTGTGTCCCAGAGGTGGTAGCTACCTGCTGGCAAGTAAAGACAATCTTAAGCCTTTCAGAAGGATAACTGCTATTAAAGGATAGACAGAAGGAACGTTATCTAAGGGTAAGAACACATGGCCGTTGGCCGAAAAAAAACTGGGCTGTTTTTTTTTGGTCATACACTTCTTACGTAAGCTTGGGCAGGTGACTTTATTTTTGTTTCTTTCTATTCCCAGAATGAGGACAATGAGTCTGTGCTACCCTGCAAAGGTCCTATGCAAATTAATTCTTTAAAGATTATAAGGGGCTGTGACAAAAGAAACATTAGCAATTACAATTTATGTACTATCATTGTAACTGTGAGTAAACCTTCCCTTCTTGTTTTTATCTGAAGGGATCCCGACCTCTACTGGATTATCTTCACTGCGCCAGGGTGCAGATAAGACACCAAATGGTTTTCATGGATGTATTCACGATGTCCGCATCAATAATGAGCTGCAGGATTTCAAGGATTTACCACAGCAGTCGCTAGGAGTCCTTCCTGGCTGCAAATCCTGTAACATCTGCAAGCACGGCATTTGCCGGTCCCTGGAGAAAACAAGTGTGATTTGTGAATGTCACCCAGGCTGGACGGGGCCCCTGTGTGACCAGGAAATTGGAGACCCATGTCTTAACCACAAGTAAGCTTGAACAAATGCTGATGGGAGGGCGGAAGCTTTGCAGCTAATGCATATTTCATGTTTGATCTTGTAAAACCACATCTGACTATTTTTGGAGGTGCTGGGTTCCCACATGAAATTATTGACAGTTGTGAGTCAGGATCCATGGCAACTCTCGATTTCCACTCCTTGTTCTGGCATTGCTCACTCTCCAAATGAGCTCTTCGTCCTGGAGGAGCTAAGGTGTTAATACTGCAGGTCATACTTTCAGCTGTGACTCTATGCATTAAAATACGAAAACTCCTGTTGACGGGTATGGCTTGCCTCTGAGGGGGTGAGTGCCTGCGCTCATCCGGAGCAGAGCTACCTGTGAGCAGGAGGTACGCAGTTTAGGGATATGCTCACAGCAGCATTGGGCCCAGTGTTCAGACTAACTCCCTGAAGATCATTACGCACTCCAGCGTGAACAGTTTTAAAGTTCCCTAATAGCTGACTTAAATATTACATTCTGAAACACCGCTTTAAAATGCAAGTTTAAAGGACAGCATGGAGTTGCATGCAAAGGGAGCACGAGCATAAAGCAGTTGCAGTTCAAAGGCTCAATAACCACATCTCCATCAGAAACGCTGGGTGAATAGCTTACTTATGGCAAGTACACAGGGAAACAGTCCAGCACAGAGCAGCAGTCTGCATAATTCAGTGCTGTTTCATGAGCAGATGGAAGTACTTTTGTTTTAGAAGCCACTTTGGTTGCGCTGTCTGTGGAAAGGGGCTTTTCACAAGCACGTACTTTTGACAGGTAAATTGACACAGTGAGTAACCACTCTCTTAAGGGCAGAAATTTCACTTGGCAGAGGTACTGCTTTAAACTTGCTTCTGGGTCTAATTCTGCAAAGTGCTGAACCCTGGGAGGTGTTGAGAAGCACCTGACAGTCTACAGACCAAGGGTATGAAGACCCAAGTGAAGAAACAGTCAGAGGCCCAAATGTTTCCTTGAATTTCCAACATCAGCATGAAGCTGCTGTGGTTGGACAGAGAAAAATAAGGGAGTTCCAGATGTTTGCGTGATGAGGGATTGTTTCTCTCATCATCCAAGGAGGGTGATGCAATCATGAACGGAGCCCTCTTGCTAAGGAAAGCAGCTGTGCATATTTTTAATGCTTACATACTGTCTCACCTTTCATTAAATCACTTCAGCCTTCTGGCATTGTCTCCTTAAAGGCAAGCCCTTTGTATCCAGGGGTGTCGTGCTGGCAGGTGTCTGCTCACAGATTAATCTCAGTGAGGAAATGCAACTGTAAAGAACAGGTAGTTGATGATAACAAGAGTTACTACCCAAGCACACCTTTGGTTAGTGGGGCAGAAAATCCTGCTTTATATAGGCCGTGACTCCCTTTATGACAGTATTTTGCATGTCTTGACCTGGCTGAAACAGCTTTTATTATTTGTGCTTTTTAGTTCAAAGCTTTAAAATGAAATGTACAAGGATTCAACATAAGCAGGAACAATTTTAAAGTACTAGAAAGCAAAGAAATAAAAATAAGACATGGGTTTATGTCAAGTAGGACCTGCTACAGTAAAGGTTTATAAGCCCTGTGCCGTTTGTCTTGGCTGGACAGTGTTGCTTTCTTCCCTGTCCTCAGTCCATTTCAAGCCTGTCCCTGTCCCAGATGTGGAGATGGTGTCAGAGAACCTGCTAAGGATCAACACCCCTCCCTGCAGTACTCCGCAGAAATACCAAAGCTCACTGCAAACCACACCAGCCAGAGAACACTTCAACTACAACTGCCCGTCAACAAGTCTGTGCATAGCTTTTCCACAAACACCTTCATTTATCACACTGTTTTTCATCACTTGACATTATTTGTAGTTATTCTGCTAAGGAAGCCTGGGCATGCAGCTTGGTTGTTGGCACCTGGTTCCACGTGCTGCTGCTGTAAATGTGAGCTGTCTTGTGTGGACGCCAGGCGCTGATCCGTGCTCATGGAGGAGCATGTTTTTCAAAGAGATCACTTAGGAGCACAAATTCTAACTGTATCCTCTGAACATTATCCAGTATTCACTGAAAACTCACAGTTTATTCAGAGCGTTAGACACTGAACTGCTGGTTTTGGATTAGTGTCCTGGAATAAAATGGGCAGAAATGCCAAAACCAAACATCCCTGGGAAAAGGAACTGTCACATCTAACACAGGCCAGCTCTAAATGCTTCTCTTTCTCCAGGTGTCTGCATGGTAAGTGCATGGTGGCCAATGTTGCTTACACCTGTAAGTGCCTGGAGGGCTACACAGGCATGTACTGTGACAAGAAGAACAACTCCTCAAATCCCTGCAGGATTTTGAAATGCAACCATGGGCAGTGTAAAATTTCTGAGCACGGGGAACCCTACTGCGAATGCGATCCTAACTACAGTGGAGAACACTGTGACAGAGGTACGCTTGGCCCCAGGGCCCAGGACGCTGGTCTGCTGCATTTCTGGTTTACACCTTTGTTTTTACCTCTCTTCCACGTGACTTGCATTTTTTGGGGGAAAATGGCAAATAACAGAAGGTAAAGCTAAGTCGGGAAGGAGAAAAGAAACACACACTGATAACTTATGGAAAGGGGGACATCTGTAACGAAAGGTCTTATTCTCTTGTCTCCTGAATCCTCAGGGTTTGCTGCTCCCAGGATTCTGGTGGGATGTTTAAAGGAGAGGTTGTTGTGAGGTTTACCCTCAGCAAGCAGTGATCGGTGACTTGCAGTGCTGGGAAAGGAGCTCTCGCCCTGCATGACAAGGGCTTTTGTAGATGCCGTGAGCAGGAGCGGGAAGGCAGGAGGTACTGCTCATCTGAAGTGACAGTGCAGGCTCGCAGCTTGCGGCCTCTGATGCAGCGGGCAGGTATCCTGGGGATCCCACAGATCGTGCTGGACTTCCCCGCTAGAGCAGGGGCCCAACTCTTGTGCCCTGACCAGAAAAGACTCACTGGAAACTCGGCGAGTTCTAACTTCATCTCTTCTGCCTTTTTGGCTTCTGCACAAAAAGAAGGAGCTGGCTTGTATTATTTTAATTTAGGCTGTGCCTTTCTCGTGAATGAGCCACAGACTTTCCAAATTATACCCATATACAGCCTCACCAAAATTTATCTGGCTGCTGCAAAGCGACTGCAGAACAGCACAGACATTTTCAGGTACCCCAGATTGCTGATGTCAGGCAGAGCAGGCTGACCTTTGATCCTGAGAAGCAGACCTAGTAAAACTAATTCATATTTTGCAGGAGTGTTGCAGGATTCAACACTCAGCATTCATTAAAGCACTTCCAGAACTGCTGATCAAAGCCAGCAGGCCTGCTTGGCCTCTGCCTTGTGCCGGATATTACACATTTGTGTAACACAAGCTCTGTTCTGATGGCAGGTACAAAGCAGTAAAAGATGAAGGTCCTTCTCATGCCATCTGTTTGCCTTGAATATCATTACAAGTTCAGGGCTGTTTGCTGATGTTTGGGGAATATCTGGCAAAATAGTTACCACATTTCTTTTTTTTAATTGCTGACATCTCTCTTGTCTTACCAGAGAATCTCTGCCAAGGAGAGATCATTCGAGAAGTGGTCCGTAAGCAGCAGGGCTACACGTCGTGTGCCACTGCCTCCAAAGTGCCCCGCCTGGAATGCCGCGGCGGCTGCGGCAGCGGGCAGTGCTGCGTTCCTCTCCGGAGCAAAAGGCGGAAATACTTCTTCCAGTGCGTGGATGGCTCCACCTTCACGGAAGAACTGGAGAGACATGTGGAATGCGGCTGCTCAAAATGCTTATAAGCCATTCTCCAGTCTCTTGCCACTTTAATCGACTCAGAAGCGCGATCAAAACGGGACCTATTTACTTTCAGAGTGAAGAAGAAAAGAGTTATTAAGTATATTGTAAAATAAACTAAAAATAGAACTTATTTTTATTATGGAAAGTGACTATTTTCATCTTTTATTATATAAAGTATCGCACCACTTTGGGTATATGTATCATATAGTGAGTTATTTTTACCATGAAACTTTTTTAACAGTTGTAAGAAAAAAAAATTCAAAAGTTAAAAGTTTAAAAAAAATATATAGAGAAAACATAGCCTAACAGGAGAAATGTGGGGGTGACTTTATCTGTATGCACAATGAACAAATGTAAAGGTGTTCCAAGGACCCGCCACAGAACTGATACAGGCTGGAGAAGTCTCCGAGGCTCTGGGTGGGTCTCCGAAGAGAGCGGCTCCCCATGACCGACAGCCACCTCGCCTGCTCAGGCGCCCTGAGGAAGCCTCCCCTCGGCCCCTTGCTCTGCCCAACGCTGCCGACGCTGCTTTCTTCCCGTCCAGTGGCTCCGCTTGCTGTTCTTGAGCCCGTTCCCTATAGCACGTAGGCACTGCCGTAGCTTGAGGCTAACTACATTATTTGACTATTGTAATACTATAATACCTTTTTTGCTGTGTATGTTGTATTTATCTGTGTTCACATTATAGTCTTCAGCAACTGTATCTATAGAGCACAGGCAGCTTTATCCAAAAGAAGGGGACGAAGGGAAAGGAAGTGGGGAAATACATGTTGCTTTGGGACATTTGGGGGCAAAATGTGAAGTAAGTGCTAAGTAATGCCTAATAAATGACATAGTACTTTTGTGTAAACTCCTCAGCTATGTTATTTCCCAAGTTTGTGCCTTCTTGCTCCCGGCCTTGAGCCTTTTTTTGTATATGAAATATGAGGAATGCACTGCTACATAGTTTGTCACGCCTTGACACTTTAACTTGCAAAGGTTGTAAAGAGCATGAAAATACTGCAGGTGCCAGAACGTACCTGCAGTGCAATGGCTTGTGCTCCCACGGTCACTTCAGCCATGGGTGTGAGCTGGGCTGTAGCTGCTTGTTCACCCACACTCTGGTACCGGGCAATTGGCTACTTTTCCACAGCTTTTTAACCGAGCAGAAGTTGCACTATACCCGTGTGAAGGTATCAGCTGACATCTGCCCACCTTAGCAGCACTCTCTTCTCTGCACATGGAGAGACGTTCCAGCTCCACCCCGGCCTGTTCTCGCATTTGGTGCAGATTGGACAATTCAGCCAAAGCTTCTCCATCCGCACCGCTTCATATCCCACACTTGTGTCTCCCAAAAGGCTCCCGTTAACTTTAACTGTGCTCAGAGCAAATGCTGAATAGGAAATGGAAATCAATGCAGGGATAATTTCTCACTGTGAACGTGAGGCAAAAATTGACTCTGGAAGTGAGTTGGATTTTTGGAGGGTTTTTGGGTAGGGCTACCTTTCAGGTTCAGAAAGTACGTGCAAAGAGTACCATGGATAGCTTGAAGTTTCTCTTACTATAAGTTTCAAACATCCCCATCAACAACTCTTCCACTGTAAGTGTAATTTCTTTCTTTCTCTAACATAGCAAGTGTTATAGTCCTTCCTTTGATTTCTTTTTCTCTAAGAGAGGTAAAGTCAGAGATGATTCCTAGCAGCTGTAAGCTCCTTTGGGGAATGCTTGCTGGTCTGACCAAAAGGATTTCCAATCAGGGGCTTCAGCAAAGGATGAGTAAGAATGTTGAACCAAGGCCAGGTTGGACGGGGCTGGGAGCACCCTGGGCTGGGGGCAAGGGGCCCTGCCCGGGGCAGGGGGGTGGGACTGGGTGATCTTTAAGGTCCCTTCCAACCCAAATGAGTCTATGGATTCTACGATTGCCCCCTAAGTAAAGGAGGCTTTTGTCTGACTGGTGCTTTGGAAAGATGCACAGAATGCGGCCCTGCCATGACAAGTATGAATGTTTCTTTTCCATTAAAGAAAAGTGACCTTTAGCTATCATGCAACCAGAAAGCTCTAACATGCTTGACGTTCTTCTGCTATGTCAACCTCTCCTTAACTGCAGCAGTTCATTCATATTTATTTGTTACTACCAGAGCAGTTTGAGCAGAAGGGACATAACCAATGTGATAGCCATCTCACAAAACAACTATTAGTATGTGGAGCCTGCAGTCAGTGAAACATAAACCAACCACTAGTTCATGTGCCAAACTCTGACTGAAACAGTACAGCTCAAGAGCCAGGGAAAAACTGACTCTGGTAGCCAGTGCTATGGGCTGCTTTTTATTTTGAATATAGTGTCAGAAGCTCATAGCAGCTGGAGTTTGTGGTGTACAACAAAAATCACCCAAACCCACAACCTACAGGTTTTAAAGATCTGTGCAAGTAACTACAGGCCCTTGCGCAAGTATGTGCCTGGCCCACCACTACCGTTAACGTTTCACTCCTGATTGAAACACTTTGATTTCTAAAGAAGCAGCTGCTATGGTGCCAGGCAGAAGAAATCCAGACTGAGCAGTGGCTCACAAGTCCTCCCTGTGCTCTACTACATGATTTGTAGACACTAAGCTGCCAAGGCCTGCAGAAACACGGCCCCTCTTGAACGCCACCCAAAACTGTGTTTACTTTGTCCCTTGAGCAGCAACGCGTATGAAAAAGGTGACATTTACTCGTGGCCTCGCACCTGCTGGAGGGTGCTTTGTAAGGAATGGCCTTGACTGGCAAGGCAAAAGCCATCAACGTCTTGTTAACACATCACTCTGGGATTTATTTAAGCAAAGCCTTGCAGCAAAGTGACCAGTAACAACTCAGCGAGCCTGGCCCTGTTCCTGGCCCTTTTCTGTCATGGCACTTCAGTGTTAAGCGTTGGGATAAAGAACTAAGATATCTATTTTGTAACCAAATGATGCAATTTTTGTATGCTTTTAGGCAGCACTTGCCATTGGATAGTGATGCTTTATGTCAATGATTCTCTGACTTGCTATAGAATTATTTTATGTTAAGAAGAAAATAAAAAGCATTCAGATGTGCCAAAAATGTGAGGTTAACTGAAGTGTAATTAGCTCTGAAAGTTCCTCTGTAACCTGCCTAATGTTACAATAGATTTCAAGAACTGCGGGTACAATGCAGTAGTTTTTACCTCTATAAAGTTTTAATATAAAGTGAAGAAAGATGCTTACCCTTAAAAAATGGCAATGCAGACTGGTGTGAACTGATGTATTTTATTAATAGATTCTCATTGTGATGTAAGTTTAAATAAATTGTTGGGTTATGGAAGATTGTAACATACCTTGTGATGCAGATTATTTCTATATGTATTTGCAGTGTTGAGTCTGACCTATCAGAGCACGAGAGAGAGCTCACGGAAAATGGGGGGGGAACTACCCATGTTCCTCTTGGACAGATCTCCTCAGAGTATGGTTATGTACTTAAACATAGCGTGAACAGTGGTTACAGATTTTTATGGTATCACAATCTTTTAGGAGTCTTACATACACAGATGAAATAAGCCACATAGGTTTTAGGCCTGGGTACTTCAACAATTAAATACTTTATTTGCTGCTTTAAAAAAAAAAAAAAAAGCTGTTTGAGAAAGGCCTGCAGCAAAAATACACTCATTAACTAATAATAGAATAAGTGAAGAAATATTGGGAATTAGGATCAGAGGAGGTCTGACTGAGGAAATGGAAGTCACACAGCCTACAGTGGGTCACAGGGATCTCGTGATGTCCTGACACACATATTTTCCAAATTTGGTACCACATCTCCATAGCTGATTATTATTAGTGACCCAGAGGTAACAGATTTCTGTTCCTTGCATTCCAGCCTTAGCATAGGATAAAAACGAAGCTCCCACCTAGCCCTCAGCCTTCCTTCACCCATGCCCCCATGTAACACTCACATATTGCTAATTATGCTTCAAACTACAGCCCTCAGAGTTGCCTTTGCCATTCCATGCAAAACTGGTGACAGCACTCAGCCAATAAAAACACTCAACCTTAATGAGCATCGTTAAGCCTGAACTGCGAAGGTTAATTATATAATTGTAGCAGATGGTAGCATTTTCACCTAAGGCAAACCCAGCTGAGTCCACTAAAAAAGCTAGCAGGAACTACTCAAAAATTTTTAAGTACTGGCTGAAGTAGCTGGTTTGCACAACAGTTATTTAGTATTGCTTGTGGCTTTGCAGCAGATGGGTTTCTCAGCGAGCAACTGCAGCCCAAGGATAAAATGCTCTTGTTTGGGCTTCTGCTTGCAGCGCTCTAGGTATCGCTTTTAAGCTCTTGGTCTGAGGCAAAGAATGCCGAGAAACTGTCTATCCTGCATTCTTTTATCTTTGTTTTTTCTACTCGGCAGGGAATAGTCAGACGGTGTTGCTGTTTGCAGGGTGTTGGGCTGTGGGTTTTGCATTGTTCTCTGGGGGTCCTGGCACTTCTGCTCTCTGTGTCCTCTTTTACTACTGCCCAATTCCTACTTCAGGTTACCCGACAGCCTCACAGTTCGGTGGCTAGGACAGGCAGTATTTGCCCAGCCCAAGGTGCTTTTGAGAAATCCCTTCAGCTGCGGGCCGAGAGATGTCACACTGGGTCACAGGCTGGCAAGCCCACTGCTGTTCCATGGCTGAGCCGAGCCAGAATGTTTCCCAGGACGTGCCCTGCAGCTTTCGAGGACAGGCGAGGGGAACGTCGAATGAGATACCGCAAACCGGCTTCGGTCCCCACGGCTGACCCAGGACAGGAGCCCAGGGACCGTCCCGCCAGCGGCTGGTGGGAGCCTTCGGGCTCCGTGCCGCACCCCTGCCGCCTGCGGCGCTGACCCGGCCCCGCGCCGCCTCCCCGCGTCCCTGACCCCGCTGGGGCGGCCGCTGCCAGCCGGGTCGGGATTCCCTGGAAGCCACGTCCCCGGGCTGAGGCTGCTCTGTCCCCGTCCCGCCGCCGGGCTCGCGGCCGCTCGGTCCCCCACGCGTGGTTAGCGGTTACGCCAGACACGGCGAGCGCAGCCCCACGCCCCGGCCAGCGCAGCCCCGCACCGCCCCTCCCCCGCCACACACACACACGTGCGCGCGGCGCCGGCTCCGCCAGCAGGTGGCGCCGCAGGGCGCGGCCCGGCCCCCGCCGCTCCGCGGGTCTCCGGGGCGGGGCGGGGCGGGGCGGGGCGGGGCTGTCAGGGACCTACAGCGACCATCGGGCCCAGCTGCCTGAGCGGTTCGGGGCTGAGCCAGCCGCAGCCCGTTGTTAAGGGCACTGAAGCACTCGCCCGCTCCCCAGGAAGCCTGTCCCAGGCTCTGGCCGCCCTCTGGGGAAAGCAACGCTTCCTCGGGGCCAGGCTGAACCTGCCCCGGCGCAGCGTTCAACCATTCCCACGGCCCTGGAGCCCAGGGAGAAGAGCTCAGCACCTCCCTCTCCACTTCCCCGCCTCAGGAAGCTACAGAGAGCCACGAGGGTGCCCCTCAGCCCCCTTCTCTCCAAGCTAGGCACGCCTCAGCTGTCCTCAGAGGAGCGTAGGTATATGCGATACATGGATTTTCTGGGGAGTTTTAAAGAATAATTTCTCAGATTTCATTGATCCTGTGACATCAACTTCCTAGTGCTCTTCACATTGGTCCCGTGAGGAAAGGAGCCCCTGCAGTCTCCATAAGCTCCAACTTGACATGGGGGCACTGCAGTCGGGAGTCCACAGTTTTCCCCGGGGAATCTGCAGGAAGCAGTAGCAGGAGGATGCCCCTGCTGAGCCCCAGGAGGATGTGTGTGAGACCTGAGGGTGTCTAGCACTTCTTTGGCACCATCCCTCCGCAGAAGGACGATGGCTTCGTGTCCTGGTGTGCGGGGAAGCTGCTGTCTGCACTGCGGCGGCCCCAGGACAGCATCACGAGGCTGCTGTTGATGGCACTACCGTTACTTCAGTGCTAGAACCGTATGGAATAATAACTGATTCTGATATTTCTACCCCAATTCTGCTGCGGTTTGCTCTGAGGCATAAGCACTACATGCCTGCAGAGTTTATTACCCAGCAGGGCCCTACTCCGAGCAGGTAGGTGCACACCCCTGCAGCCCGCAGTACCGCTTGCCTGTGCAAGAAAGCACAGCTGTTCCTCCGAGCACCTCCAGCCCCCAGACAGCCCTGCAGGCAGCAAGAACCTCCTCGGGCATGTAACAGAGCACATATATGGTACAAGCACTACTTATTAGTATGAGGAAGCTTAAACTTCTACCATGACACATAGGGGCATCCCGAAGTCTCACAAGCAGGAGGAACAGAAGTTGCTGCGAGACTTGCATAGCTTTGCAGCTTGTTCCTACATGATCTCTTGACCTTCTCCTTTCCCAGGGCTTCCATGCTTTCAAAGTAAAATGATGCTCGAGGCAGTCTGGGGATGGCATTGCCTTCTCCTACTGTCTATGACTCTTGTCCCCATGGCACAAAGATCACTCATAAAAATAATCTCTTACAACTAATGTGTCTTACCTGTGGAGGAAGAGTACACATCCTATCCCAGAGATGTGTGGAAGGGAGGCAAGAGGATTGAGTGAGTCCCACAGGATCAATGGCCTTTGTGCTCACAGGATAGCTCAAAACTCACGGGGAATCCATCCATTACATTTTCAGTGGTCCAGTTTTCCAGCTAATCTTCTGCCAGCAGCATTTAACCAGGCAGCAACTCTGCAGAGGACAGGTGAACTCGGCCCTGAGCCACGGCAGCTGCCGGCCCCTGCTCCTGTACAGGCACCTTTATCCTTCCCCACCACCTTGTCTCCAGTGCTGAGACCCACGTCCTGCACTAGCGCAGGGGATGAACTTCTGCAAAGACAGAAAAAGCCACAACTTAGATACATATTTCACCACCCTGGCAAAATGGCAGGAGGCTTTGGTCCAGCACAGGGCTATTCCCTAGCCTCATCCTTGGAAACTGTTTCATTGGAAACTTAGAAATGCAGCAGAAGAAATACCACAAAGCAGACAATAAACATGAAATTGTCATTTGAGGAAACTATTTTTGTGAAGCGAGAAGGAACTGAAACCACCGTTCTCCACTGAGAAGGGTTGTTAATGGCAAGCAAATGACTCAACCCTGCCTTAGACACTTTGAATGCAGAGCAAGGTTAAAGGAACCAAATACCACAAGGTAATTTACGTTGGGACTTTGCAGCACACAAGATGCTATCATGCTTTCACCTGGCATGTGATAAGAGCATGTACAACTGGCAGTTACTATAGAGGAGCTTAAAATTCCTTAATTATACACCAGCATATTTTGCACCTCTTCAACAGTCATAGTTTCTTCTGGGTAAAGCACTCATTGAATTGTCAGGGTCATGAGGGTTTTTTCATTTTTTTTTTTCTTTTTTTATTATGTTGAAGTAACTACCAAAGTATGGTCTAAGGCACTAAGGTCCAGACAGATCAAGTTGGTCATATCAATAAATGAGATTCTAATAGAGAAATTAAACATTTTTTGTCTCTCCCCAAAACATCTTTGTAAGTAATACTGGTTTAAAAAAAAAGTCCTTGCCTTCAGCTATATTGTTCATATAGAATCCTCTCACACGGTTTCATCCCACACAGACACTGTACAGCACTTTAGGCACATCGTTAACAACTATAGCTTGGCATTGGTTATATAAATATATATAGATACATACACACATTTATATTTATATAGCAAATCATACATTCACCTTCAGATTTATTTATTCTTACTTATGGGATATTCAAAGCAGCATGCTGGCTGACATACAAGTAACTCCAACCTAAAAGTGCTCATAACCTATAAATCAACTTGATCTGCAAATTAAAGACAGGCTTGTGTTAAACATCTAGTTTGAGCTAAGCCTCTACTCTGAGATAAGATTAAAGATAGCTAGGAGTTGAGCTTGGCTTGTTTTTTCATATATTCTGTCTTAGCTGATGATGTTCAGCTAAAGCATTTCACCTTCTGGTGAAGCAGTACTTAAACAGAACTTTCAGATTTGCTGATCTTGTTTTTATTTGAACAGCCCCCAGTTCATTAATTGTCACAGAGCCCTTTATTTATTCCCATTTTTTTACACGGGGAGATGAAATAAGAGGGTTTGCTAGATAAAATAAAATGAGCATCTAGTGTATTCAAATTCAGAAGTTGCTCCTAAGAAACCCATGCACAAAGTATCTATTTTTTTCTCTGACCAAAGTCAAAAACTAGGAAAGAAATCACCAAATCTGCAGTGCTGGAAAGGGAGAATTACAATTTCCTCACTGAAAGGCTGGGTCAGGAAGTTTTCTGTGTGTTTTAAGAAAGCAGGAATTGAACAGCTGTCAGGCAGTAGGCTAGGTTTTTCTTGTTTTTCTGGGTTGCATGTGCATGTTTATTACTGGCGCTTCCCAGAGATGGTATTTCAAGTCCTCTAGAGTTAGTTGTGTAGGAACCATAGTCAGAGTACAGGCAGTGGAAAAAATGCCTCAGGATTGAGATACTGAAAAAACCCACTGCAGATCTGTTTTCCCCAACCCCACCAGAGATGCCCACGCGACACCAAATAGCTCATTTTACACAAAACATTCCACACTGCATAGTCTGGTGACAGGCATGAAGTTAGAGTCTCTCCTGTGAGGCCGGGCTGAGAGAGTTGGGGGGGGTTCAGCCTGGAGAAGAAAAGGCTCCGGGGAGACCCTCGAACGGCCTCCCAGGGCTTAAAAGGGGGACAGGAAAGGTGGGGAGGGACTCTGGGTCAGGGGGTGTGGGGTTAGAACGAGGTGTGACGGTTTTGAACTGCAAGAGGGTAGGTTTAGATTAGATCTAAGGCAGAAATTCTTCCCTGTGTGGGTGGTGAGGCGCTGGCCCAGGGTGCCCAGAGCAGCTGTGGCTGCCCCCTCCCTGGAAGGGTTCAAGGCCAGGTTGGACAGGGCTGGGAGCCCCCCTGGGCTGGGGGAAGGGGGCCCTGCCCAGGGCAGGGGGGTGGGACTGGATGATCTTTAAGGTCCCTTCCAACCCGAATCATTCTGTGATCTTATGATCACAGTGTATATCCATGAATGGGCAAAAGTTAACTTCCAGGTAGCAGCTAAATTCTTGTATTCCCCAGTATATATGTAAATGCTTCTGTTTAAAATTTCAATAGTAAACTACATTGCAGTGGAAAACCACAAAGGCACCCCAAAATTTCCTCTCTTTAAGAAGAACACATGGGAATTTCCACAATTACATGCAGCTTACAGGAAGAGAGAAGTTCTGCAGCCTTGTTAATACACGCTTAAGTGACAAGAAGTAATCACTAAGAAGGCTTCAGAGTCAGGTTCCCAAACCCAGACATTTAAGAAAGGAAACACGATAAAAGGGAGATGGCATCCACATGAGACTTTGGGCTTTTTTTAATGTAAGACTCGGGATGAAAATTAAGAAAGCCTTCTGTGACAGGTTTTAGAATGAGACCCAACAAAATACCAGTGCTGAAAGCAGATGTAGAACCAGAAAATGAGGCATCTGGGCTCCCTCACCATGCACAAAAGTGGCCAATGTGGAGAGAAAAGCTGTGCTGGACCTACTGAGTGGGAACTGAGGACAGGTCTACATCTGAAATCTTCCCTTGTAGTAGGGCTGTAAGCATACATGGTCCTTTTCTGGGATCTGACATCCAAAATCCTCTCCTGAAGGAAGGTCGTGACTGGGACTAAGCAAAGGTCACTTGGTTTGCGGTAATAGTTTTTTTAGTACGTGTTTAGGGGCAGTAGGGGAATGGAAGAAAATGGTGGTTCCTGTTTCTACATAGTAGGTTTGTGAGTAAACCACTTGCACAGGAAGTTGAGCCTTGTCTTTCCTCAGTTTGTAAAGGGGGACTTCAACAGAGACTTTTGCTGAAGCAAAACCCCAGACACATCAGGAAACTTCAGCTTCCAAGACAGAGCTGATGCCCCAATCCTCCTTCTGGCTTTTAGAGCCATCCCAGACCACAGTAATTGATCTAGAATTACATGGCATTTTATCACAGAGGGGAGGAAACACAGCTGTATGCTCCACCGACTTCTTGCTGGAAGACTCTGAGTTGCGAGCAGTAGGCCAGAGACCTCGCCATATCCTGCCACTGTCAGCAGGCTTCTCTCCAGCTGCCTGCCATGAGGAGACTCTCCACAACCCTCTAACAGGGTATGAAATTCAGCCTATCCTTGTTCTGGGTGAGGAAAGGCTTTCCTGAGGGCTGACATTAGCTGTGTAGTTATTGGAGTCCAGGCACCAGCAAATTAAAGGAGTAATTTCCCAAACTGCTTCTAGCGTGTAATTGTGTGAGAACTTCCAGTTGTAGTCAGGAGAAATGACAAACAAACCTCAGTTTTCTCCTTTCTGTACAGCCAAAGAGAGCTCACGCAGTACTTAAACCTGAGCAGCCACGGAGAGGGCGAACGCTGGGGCAGCACCAACTCAGCCTGCCCTCCCGGTGGCGCAGCAGCAGCCGCCACGGGCAGCTCGGGCCCCTCTTGCCCCGTCCCCGCTTTGGGGGTGAGCCGCCCCCAAGCGCTCCACTGCCACACGACCAGGCCGGCGGAGCTGGCGGCGGGCGCCCATGGCCGCCGCGGGGCTGAGGGGGAACCACCCGCCCGCCCCTCAGCCGGCGCGCGCGCAGCGCCGGCCCTGCCCCGCCGCCCGCGGTGGCGCCTCCCGATTGGCGGCGGCTCCGTGGGGTGACGGGCGGGCGGCGCGCGGCGCGCCGGGAGCTGTAGGCAGAGCGCGGCGGCGCGTGCCGGGCCGGACTGCGGCTCCCGGCGCGCCTCGCGCCGCCCCGTGACGGGTCCGGGGCGGGGGGGGGGGGGGGGGGCGGCAGCGCTGCGGCAGCGGCGGGGCGGGCGCGCGCGAGCCGCTGCGCCGCCTCGGCCCCATTGTGCGGCGCGGCCGCGGCTCCCCGGTGCCGGCCGCCATCTTGTGCCGGAGGGGCTCCGCGCCGGGCCGGCGCCTCCGCAGGGCCGGGGCCGCCCACCTGCCGAGAGGGGCCGCGGCGGCGGGCGGCGGGGCAGCCCCTGCGCGCCGGGCCGCGCCCGAGCCGGGGGAGCCTCCCCTGTGCCGCTCCTCCCCGGGCGCTGCCGCGCCCTGAGGCGGCGGGAAGGGCTCGCCCTTCGGCGACGCGGCGGCCCCGGGGCCGATGCTCGGCACCTCGCCGCGGGACGCAGCCGCCGCGCCGGGCCGGGCGTGAGGGGCCGCTCCGCGCCGCCTCCCGCCGCGTCTCCCCGCCCCAGCCCGCTTTAGCCGATGCGGCCGCCGCCGCTCGACGAGCGCCTGCCCGGGCCGCGGGCGTAGCGGCGGGTGCTGCCAGCGCCGCTCCCGAGGAGGCGGGCGCCCGCCGCCCACCGGCCGCGGATCAGGAGACCGAGGGCCGGCCCCGAGGAGCCGCTGCCGCCGCTTCCCGCCCCATCAGGCGAGGGGCAGGACACCCACCCCGAGCGCGGCGCCGCGCCCCGCCCGCCCCAGCCGGCCGGCGAACCGGGCCGCCGCCGCCGCCGCCGCACCATGAAGATCAAGGACGCCAAGAAGCCGTGTAAGGGCGCGGGTGCCGCAGCGCCGGCCGCGGTCGTGGGCGCCGTGGCGGGACGCGGGGGCCGGTTCTGCGGGTGGCTCAGAGCCGCGGCTCGGGAAGGTGCCGCCGAGGCCCTTCTCGCCGCTGTGCCTCCCTCTTCGGTGAGGTGTCGGGGTTCGGGCAGTCTTACAGACCGGAGCTGGCGTGGGGAGGGCTTCTCCTCGAGTAGAGAGCAATCAGGTTTTGGCGTACGGGTGCTGGTTTTAATGCTGATTTTAATCCGTTTTTAAGAGCTAATCAGCTTTTGTTTGTTAGTTTTTTTGTTGGGTTTCTTTTTTTTTTTTTTTTAAGAGATAATATTTGTTAATATTTGAGTACAAGTCCTTCACTAAAATATGCTAAATGCTCCCCATTAATAGGCACAGTTGTAGTAATATTTCCTATTATTTATTGCTTTGGAGCACCATATTTGTTTTGGAGGGCACAAACATGGTTCAGACTCAGGTGAATGTAAACAAAATGTCTAAGACTACTGATATTTTGTGGGAAGAGAGAATTGCGTTGGGTGAAGTTAGTCTATGTTACAGGCGTTTTTTTTTCCAGTGTAACAGATACATAGCTGTTCAAGTCAACGCAACTGTCAGACTTACACAGGTGTACCTTAGCTGAGAGGAATGCAGGTACTTCTCTGCTGAGTGAAGCTATTTTTTCTTTGTGATCATACTTAGAGACTTATTTTCAGGGTGAGTTACTGTAGGGAAAACATGGCTAGTCCTAAAGAGTTAGGCCTACTCTTATTCTCAGTCACATGGCATCCCTGTCTCATGAAGAGCGTACAACTAAGAGAGTATATTGAAAATGTATATTTTTAAATACACTGTTTGAGCAGCCTAACAAGAAAATCACCAAACATGTATTTACCACAGGAAGTATTAGTGTAGCTCTAGAAATAGCTATAAACATGGATTGAATTTGGCTGTGAAAATACTTTGTTTCTTGTGGTGGGTTAAGGAAACCCTAAATATTAATCTTGCAACACACAAATAGCCATCACCTTTTATTACTGCCCATGTGTGGAAATTGCTGAATTGACTTTAGTCATGTTTACAAAGATGACAGTGCACACAGCTCTTTTTTTTTTTTTCCCCTGGTATAATATTTAAGGAATGATACCAAAATTCCAAAGCAGTAATTGGCTGTAAGATGTTACAGTGGTTTGGTAATGTAAAATGGTGAGAAACCTTCTAATTTCAGGGGTGTCTCTGCTGGGTCTCAAAGACTTGCTTTCTGTAGTGGTGGATTTAAAACTCATGTTTAAATAACAGCAGCAGATGTCATCAAGAAGTTTTAACTGCTTAAATATGCCAGATTTGTAGTTGCACTCTTCAAGTTCTTGAACTTGAATTTTGTTGGTTGTACCATGGGAATCGGAAACAAGTGGAACAGCAGGAGTGGAGGGAAAGAATACAGTGCCAAACTACATTGTTTATTTCGTCTTGACTCTGTAACGTATTTTGAAGCCAATGGCTTTTTTAAAGATAATAGCACTTAATTTCATAGGAGATGAACTTTATACTCATTCTGTAGATCTCTGCTCCTGGTTAGTTGCGCTGACTGAAGTAGGAGAGCAGCTGGATGTTTGAAGAGGAGCGGATCCACAAAAGCGCTAAAGATGGAAATGTCCATTGATGTTCAGGGGCTTTGGTGCCCAAATGCTGCTGTGGATTTGACTTACATGCTCAAATTGACCTGAAAGCTGAGTTGGGCTCACAGTACCAGTTTTAGACTGTCTAGTTACAAATTATTTGGCTAAGACAGTTGCAGACACATTTCAATACAATTGTTGAACGGATATACATTTCTTAGGTGAAGTGAGTATTTAATTATCTGTGCTGGAGCCAAATTTGATGCAGGGGAAAAATGGTAAATCATTATTTAACAAGAGGTTATTAGTCTGTTTTAAGAGCCTGCAAAGTGGAATTGAGAAGATTACTTCAGCCTACCTGTAATTTTATCTGTGATGTTTAGCATCATGAAAGAAAGCACGATTGTGCTAAGTGCCGTGTCTGTCATAAGAGAGGTGAGGGTGAAATGGGGACACCAGCAAGTTCAGAATTTCTGATGTGGACACACTGCCTCCACATGCTTGTGCTGTCCTCCTTTGCAGATCTTCACCTGGCTAGTGCTGTTGCTACTTTGTTGCTGTAAAAAGGGTAAGAAATGCAGCTGAATTTATGGAGCATGGCTTCTGACATTAGCAGTCTGGAAAGAGGCTAGTAAAGGGCCATATAAATTTCTTTTACGAGTGATTGGAGGTGATAGGCATTTTAAAGGAGGATAACAGAAATTCACATTAGGAAAACCTTCTACTAAGTAGTTTGTGCAGCAGTGAAAGCTGGAGAGGGTTGTAGAGTCTCCATTCTCAGAGGATTCTTAAAAAACTTCAGAGGTCTTCAAACATTGACTGGACAAAGCAGTAGTTGACCTCGTCTAGCGTTGGCAATTTTCCTGCTAGTGTGACTGAGAGGTTGGACTTGATGACCTCCGGAGGACCCTTCCAACCAGCAGCTGTGTGATGGCTCTTCTGAGGAAATGCATATGGTGAAGAATGGCTGGCAATTTTAAGAGAAACTTCCAAAGGTTATTTGGGGGTGGAGATGATAAATGTGAGGGCAAAGCGTGTTGCAGAACCGCTGCTGTGTGAGATCTGTCTAAAGGGAAGAGAGGAGCCACTCATTCAGAGAGAGCTCTTCATGTTGGTGGGGGAAGGCGAGGTGCCTGAGAGCAGGAAGGTGCCAGCATGCTCTGCTTTTCAGGGGAGGTGGAGCCCTTCATATTGGCTCTGGAGTGTAATGGACTGCTGAAGGAAAGGCAAAGGCTTCTAATATTTACTACACAGTGTATGTTACTTTTTACAGTTTTTTTTTTTGTTTGTTTATTAAAAATAGTTTGGAAAAAAAAAATGCCTGCATTTCCCTTGAGGTAAATTGAGACACGTTAATGTATGAAAGTACTTAGTAGAGATTTGCAAAATGCTGTATCAATGTAAAGACAAGATGAAAATCTTTTTATTTTCTCTAATGTGAAAGTTTATTTTCTCTCATGCGGTTCTACAGACACATGTAGGCATTGTGGACATGGTGATCCCATGCAGGATTTGTGGAGTAAAATTGATAAAAAAACCTATTTAGATGGCTGGAGAATCTCTTTTAAATTGATTTTTCTGTTCACAGAACTTGCTGCTTAGTCTTGTGGTATCCTAGCATTTTATTAGTACTTGAAAGCTGATTATTAGCCCATAGCAGGTGTTACAGGCTCTCATTTCACTGGAATAGAAAAAAATATTTCTAGTAATGGGTTAATACTGCCAGATACAGCTTTATACTGTGTTTGCCTCTCTGAGTGTTAGATTATGCCTTTGCATGCTGAATCTCACTGTAATAAAAACACCTATCCCCAAAGAGATTGCTGCTGAAATGTCAACAAAATTAACAGAATGAGCAAGGAGGGAGATGATGAAAGCAGCGATATTTTGTCTTGTATTAGTTTTACATGGCATCCACTTGTAGATGTGATAAACCTAATGAAGAGCAGATATGGTAATTGCCAGTTACCACCTGTCCTCCTACTGGCAAATGTGGCCTTTCTGTAGCGTGATTAGAGGTGGCTGAGTGGGAAAGTGTGGTGAGTTTACAGAGCTTGATGAAGAAGTTTTCCCACGAGGGAAATGGGAGGATGTGACAGTGTGTGTCAGATATATTTAATCCGGGTGTTAATTCTGTCCAGCCCAAATCTGTTTTGAGCTGGATTTGGGAAATCTGAACCAAAAATCTGTTACAAAACTAGTGAGGCATGGAAACTCTCCAGTATCTTAAGGACTAAGGACCTTAGATATGCAGTTTTGCGCTGTAGAGGCTCACAGGCACACCTCTGTGTAACTGGGCACAGCAAAAGCACTTTGCTGCCTAGCCATCAGGTTCATCTCACTTGATTTAGAAGTTCAACAACCTTTGTGTTTTCTCTTAACTTGTCCCATTGGACACGTTAGTTACCTTAGACTGCTAGCTGATTTAGATGCTGGAGTTTGCCATTAATTTTTACTCTGCTGTATGCAGATGTTTTAAGGAAATACTGGAAGCATGATAAGAATGAATGCATGTACAGGGGAAAATGCATTTGGAGAAACTGCAAGATACATTCAGTTTCTGTGTTTGTAAACACTAACCGTGTAATAGTTCAGTATAACTTTTATATAGTGAACTTTGTTTTGTCAGTAATCAGATAAGAATGGGATCAAGGTTAGCTTTGTTATCAAAAGCTACGTACTGAGCTGAATTAGACGGTAAGTTTTGTGCATCAGAGCTGATAATACTGACTACTTTCATAAAGCACTGTTGCAGTGCTGGCAGAAGTAAATTTAAGTTTTCATGTGATTTCATGATCATTTTCCTTTCTTCTATCTTAAGCCAATATAGAATCACGAACTGCAGCATGCTTTGGCATTTGTTCTTCAAGCCACATTTGTACTTGAAGTGCAACAGTCTTACGTCTTAATAATATGTAAGCTTTTCTACAAAAAAAAAACCTGGTAGCCTGTTCTCTACTGTCACTGGCAGCTGTGATTCTGTTTGGTTGGTTGGTTGGTTGTTTTTTTTATGGTGCAAAACTCCCTGCTTGAATTAGGAGGTAGCTACTCTTCTTTGAAGGTTAGTTCTTGTTGATTTAATGCAGAGTTGACCCAGACTGTTATTTTATCTTATGGTGAGAAGGAACTATTTTAAAGGTGTTCGTGTTTCAAATGTGTCATTACATTCATAGGAAAGAGTTTACCAGTAATAAGTTTCTCAGTCTTTAAAAGCTAAATACAAATAGTGTGTTAAACTGAAGAATCTTATGCTTGACTGAAAAAGGAGGAAGTAGTTAAGCCTTTGAATGTGTAACTCCTGCAGCTTTGGATCCGAAATGGGTGTACAAAGTCAAAATACTAGGTTGTGGTCAGTGTGAAGAACTTCAAAGGTCTT